ATTCATTTGTTTTCCTGTTTCCACAGTATAACAAATCCCAAGAGGACATGGTCACTCTCACCCAACGATCCCAATGCTTCCACCGCATTGATCAATTCATTTCTATCGGTTAGGATCAAAGCCAAAATAGCTGATCCCCTTGTTGCTTCCTCCACCTTTTGTACAATGAAATTATCGACAAAGCAAGTGAGGGATTTGTTTAACTTTAACCTAATACTTTTTGGCAGAGTATAACTGCACCTACACTAAGCCAAAGTTCTTAACTAGCCCATCAAAGTTGTATGTGTACTGTATGTAATAATACTAGAACAAGAATGATGTTTGTCACAGCTTTGTGTCCCATATCAGGACATAAATATTTTTAGCCTCTAGTTAACAAAGCTAAAATAGGAAGAATGAATGACCAGGCTGGTGGGCAGTGGGGAAGAACCTGGGCATTGTCAGCCAAAAATCAGTTTGCTTATACTCTGAACATGACCCTGCCTCCTCCACCTTCTCCATCCCAGGAATCAACATGACACTACGCTGGAGTTTCACCAATGGCTCTTCGTGGTGGAAAGAACCCCTGCAGATCTGGAGTGGTGCCAGCGGCTACTCCTCCATGACAGCATTGGATGGACCTGCACCTGAGGACGCCCACAGTCTCTTTATCATTTACGAGAAGGGGCGGATCACGTCCACGGACAGTGTCTCAGTGGCCAAGATTAGCATCAATGGGAAGCTCTGACTACCTTTCGGAACTTGACCGCCTCCCTTCATCCCACGTGCCTTTATCCCTCTTGAACCTTATGACTTCCCAGTTAAGGATAGAAAGGGATTTGCATTGAGACCAAGGAAAGATGGGGTGGCCTGAAAGTTATGCTGGAAGGGCATTGGCGGAGAACTCAGAGGAGCCCTGCACAAGAGCCAAGGAGACTGTGGGCCTGTCTTCTGTCCTCCATTTATGTCCTATACTCCCCATTTGCCTCCCCAGTGGGCAAGATTAGGCCAAGCCTTTACATCGTCCTTTCTCCATACTGGCGTTGGGGCTGCCTTACTACCTCAGAAACACTTCTCACTTAGATGCTGCTATTTAAATTTCTGGGTGGTTAAAGATTTATGAAGAGGAGCAGGGAGAAGGGGAGAGAATGAAAGAGAAAGAAGAAAATAAGATGACAATAACAAATGATAAGGAGCAAATTGTTAATCCAGTTTGGACAATTTCTTATCAGTGCAATCAACTGGAAAGAAGAAAACTGGAAATATTTGTAATTAATAAACTACATTAATGCACCTTTACCTTGTGTTGTATACCTTCAGGTCATTTCTGATTTATGGTGACCATAAGGCACCCTACTATAAGGTTTTATTGGCAAGCTTTGTTCTTAAGAGAGTTTGCCAAAAAAGAGAGTTTTCTCTTTCCATGACTTAGTGGGTATTTGAACCCTGGTTTCCAGGAGTCCTAATTCATCACTATGCTATGCTGGTGTTCACCTTTACATATTGTCTCTGGGGGTTTTTTTCTAATGAGAGAAGTGAATAAGGATTCCCTCGCTAGACAAGGCTGAGGCCTCATCTTAACTGTCAACCTTCCTTTGGATGTTTGCTGTCAGAGTGTGATGAAGAGATGGCTGTCTCCAATTTGTTTCCCCTGGCATCCATGACTTCAGACCTTTTATTACAGCATTTTAACTTGCCTTTCAGTTGAAAAAAAATCAGAGTAGCTAGCAAAAATTAGTAACAAGACGTATTCTACCTTCAGACTCAAAATCTAAAATATACAACACAAAAGGAAAAGATGTTGGGAGGGCAGAGGGAATAAAAACAAATTTGGGTATTAGTTCTTTGCTAGAATAGCTACTTTTCTTAGTTGCAATAGCTACTTAATAATAATAAATAATAATAAAATTTATTTATACCCCGCCCCTCTGAGAACAATCGGGGCGGCTAACAATATTAAAATACTTAATACAATCAACCCCCCATACCCTCGCCCCCCCTTAAAAAGATATTAAATCAAATGAAGATTAAAACCATACATATTAAGACCGACATTAACAACAATAAAACACACATACACACAACACAACATTCATTAACAGCACGTTAATGAAGAGCGGCGGTGTCTTATTGAGGGAGTCAAAAAAGAGTTCTTAGAGGACTTTGCTAAAAAGAGGGGTTACCCGAGGCCGGGTATCTATCCTGGAAAAGCCTGCCGGAAGAGATCCGTCTTAACAGCCTTTTTGAAGCTGTCAAAAAATGTAAGCAGACGGATCTTGTCTGGCAGGCTGTTCCATAATCTGGGGGCTACTTCCCTTTGTGACAGGTGAAGCAAACCCCCCTGTAGCTGCTGTTGCTGCTTTGGATAATGAATGGAGCCACGTTGGTCTCTCCCTTACCATTATGATCTTTCTGGGAGGTGACCTACAGGATCCCAGTGGCTCTAACTCTCTTTTCCAACAGCAGAACCTGAGACATTCTGCCTTTCATCTCTGCACCCAGTCCCCAAGACAGCAAGAGACAGCATCCAACCCCCTCTCAGTGCTGTCTTTCATTAGTCTTGTCTGTCTGTCTGTCTATCTATCTATCCATCTATCCCTATCTAGAAACGAGTGGGTACCAATAATAATAATAATGAGAAGAAGGAGAAGGAGAAGAAGAAGGGGAATAATGAGAAGAATAATAATACATTTCTCCACAGCTTGGCTCTCCCCCCAAATCCCTTGTGGAAAAGGCATTTGTAACCCTTGACAACAGAAGGCCTCATAGAAACACAACACACACATATCTACCTTTCCCAGGCAACAACCAAGTAACACAGAGTACGTCACTATAAGGCATTTAAATTCTTGGAAGAAAAACAACCACTTGTCCAAGAGACTAAGTTATACACACATTTTTATGGCTTATCAAGAGATTAATCAAATAAACCTTTTCTTAATTGACTGAGGAGAACATGCTTTAACTGGTGCAGTTGTAATGAAGCAGAGCATTGCATGGCAGGGAGGCAGGGGGAGTCTTATTTCTAGGCAGAATGAGGCAGTTGCCTCAGGAAACAGATACTATAAAATACTCTGAAATATCAGAGTTTCTTCCCCCCCCCCCTGCCCATACACACACATATAATTTCCCCTCTTTTAAATGTCTATCCCAGGGGTAGACAACCTTTCCCCTTTAAGGGCCAAGGGACTTCAGCTCCCAGAAGCCTCAGCCATGTTGTCCAATAGTCCCATGTTGGCCAATAGCTCCTGGGATTCTGGGAGCTGAAGTCCCTCGGCCCTTAAAGGGGAAAGGTTGCCTACCCCTGGTCTATCCAAACAAAGGGTACATCTCCATTGTATAACTAATGCAGTTTGATACCACTTGAACTGCCCAGGAATCCTGGGGTTTGTAGTTTTGTGAGGCACCAGCACTCTTTGGCAGAGAAGGCTAAAGACCTTGCAAAACTACAAACTCCAGGATTCCATAGGCAGGAGCTCCAGCCACTTCAAGAGGTGTAAAAGTACATCATTTTACAGTGTAAATGCACCCAAAGAGAGCCAGCGTGATGTAGTGGTTTGAGCATTGGACTATGACTCTGGAGACCAGGGTTCGAATCCTGGCTTGGCCATTAAAACCCATTAGGTGACCACGGGCAAGTCACACTCAGCCTCAGAGGATGGCCACGGTGAACCTCCTCTGAAGAAACCTGAAAAGAAAAC